TCTAATGAAATTTCCCAAAATCCACAAAAAGGTATGATAATCAATTTGGTAGTCTTTATTATGCCACAAATTGGTGTTTGCCAAAAGTTTTGGTTTTGTTTTTTTTAATGACTAATCGCCCTTTTATAATAGAGGGACATTTGGAATGGAAATACTGATAAGCTGGTCTCCCTTGTAGAGTTGCTTTTTTTCTGACAGTCCCCTGCCAAGCCTCTGACCCCAAAACTCTTAGTCATCCTTTCTTGTCAGAATTACAATTCTTATCCCCTCCTCCACAAGTCTTTATTAACATTGTTAAATGCCACATGTAAGTGAAGGAGCCAGATTAATTTTTCAGCCTTCATTTGGGTAGATGGAGCTCTCATATTCCTCCTTTGTCTGTGGGCAAGACCGATGAAGGCTTTTAGGAACATAAACAGAGACTGACATCATTTTGTGTTATTGATTTGGAGGATTCAGTTTCAGCTGTAGTTTGTGAATGAGTCCTGGAGAGATTTCTTCAGAAGAAAGGAGGAGGAAAGCTGGAGGATTAGCTTTAAACTTTACATAGATCAGCGTGGAACATATGGATTATCTGAGACCAGAATGAATCCCAAGGATAACCGTCCACACTCAAGAGAGTGGGGGAAAAGAGCTATTTTCCCCTGTCTTTTCCTGCTCAGGGTTGAAACAGAAATTTGGGTAGTAAATTGTTCAAGAATAGGATTAAGCCTTTGCCCTTACTCTGAAATACCATGCAGCTGGTTAAAAGTGTATTAAATACTTTCATTAATTGTCAGTTAAAAGCAAATCACTTCATTGAAATCAAAATAAATTTCTGTTTATATGTTCTCAGTTCATTATGGAATCTCAATATTGCAGTACTGAGAAAGGGCATTATTTTAACCTCAGGTTTTACATTATTTGCTTTTGGGAGATGTGACAAATGTCAGATAGAGAGTGATTGTGTAACTGGTTTAAGAGAACATTTTATGAGGAGGCTGTGTGACCCGCTCTTGTTTGTGTGTCTTGATGCAGTAATTTGATTTGCATAGAAGGCTAAAGTCATATTGTTTTGCAGGCTTCTTAGCCAGATAGCCTTTTAGAAGCCATCACTGACGGAACCTATACATACATACATACATACATACATACATACATACATACATACATA